TCCGATGCCCTGTGCGACGGGATGAGCACCGGGTCCATAATTATTCGATCCATTCTGTTCAATTCCGCTTGACCATTGCATTTTGATCATTCCATCATTAATCATTCCATCCATTCATCCGAACAGTTTCACCAGTAGTTCCGCACCACTGGGTCATTGCTCATGTCGGGCGTGGACATCAACGAATCGGATAGCCGGAATCGGTGGGCAGCTAGCGTCGAGTTTTTTTAGATTTAGAAAAAACAAAGATCGAACTTTGAGAAGAAAAAAAACACAAATGTGTCATCTGCCAAGAGATGATCAGACTGAAGTGTTTGTGCACCTATGACTTCGTGGTTTGAATGCATTTTAATCAAGCAATCCCAAACATCAAACATCTGTCATAATGGTGATGATCTCCAATTGAGATGAAAATTGCAGACTGGACAATTGCAGACCAATGTTTAAGCTTTCCTCACTCGACTTGACTTTCCCACTTGCAGCTTACCTCCGACCTTACCTACTAACCCTGCTACACGCGAGCGCAAAATGGGCTCAGCAGCCGACGCGCTGCATAATACCAACCATCATCACCACAACCCTGGTACCGCTTTGGTGAAACGTGGCATACGGTTTCATTTTCAAGGCCGTCTGAATGTTTGTTTCCTGCTTGCCTTCTTCAAGCCGGATACTTACCGACTCATGGAAATGCGTGCTCGGCGAACATATCAGCGCACTTACTAACGCTAGGACACCCTATTAGTACAATTGTTTGGTCGCACCGCCAGCCAAAAAATTAAAATAAATACGACCTTGAAAAATGAGTGAAGCGATGAATTTGATACGCTACGGACGACAATGCAGGCAAAAGTTTGGCATGCTTAATTGAGGAGCTTCCGGGTGCGGAACCGACTTAGCTAGGCTATGGATAACCCTGGTCCCCGTTCCCAACAATCAGAAACGCGTGCCACCGGTGCCGGCAGACAGGCGCAGTCCTCCGCGGCCAGCTGAGCCGTGTCAGTTAATGTGGAAAGAAGCCGACGGTGGAATGTACACAGAAGCTTCAGTGATGACTACGGTCATCCAATATCTGGATAAGCCGGGTGAAACTCACCCATAATATTTGCAATGTCTACCGTATATGTTAACTATACTGGGCGCATTTGGCTGCCATGGGAGAGTAAAAATCACGCCGACGCGAAGGTTGGAAAATGGATGCTTGTGAGTTATGGCTTCATCATGCATGCATTTATGTGACCCGTCTCTAACGGTGGCCATGCATCACGCAAGCGCTCGCAGCACTCAGACCCGGTTTCAACCGTCCGTTGTCGATTCATGCAAGCTGTTGTAGAATAAGGGCTTCATTCCCACTCGACATCTACGTGCATAACACTGCAGTCATCAGGGGAAGCATGTTTTTCCCCTGGCCTTAGGTTCCCATGAAATCTGTTTTAGTTTATCCCGTACTCCTCCCCTTCACATGCATTTATTTGCCCTTGTTATCGTTTATTTACTCTCGCGTTTCCTCTCCACCTCTGCAAACTATTTCCTGTCTAGTATATTGTCACCTCTCTCCCTCCCTCTCCTCTCTCTCTCTCTCTCTCCTCTCTCTCTCTCTCTCTCTCTCTCTCTCTCTCTCTCTCTCTCTCTCTCTCTCTCTCCTCTCTCTCTCTCTCCCTCTCTCTCCTATCTCTCTCTCTCTCTCTCTCTCTCTCTCTCTCTCTCTCTCTCTCTCTCTCTCTCTCTCTCTCTCTCTCTCTCTCTCTCTCTCTCTCTCTCTCTCTCTCTCTCTCTCTCTCTCTCTCTCTCTCTCTCTCTCTCTCTCTCTCCTCTCTCTCTCCCTCTCCCTCCTCTCTCTCTTCTCTCTCTCTCTCTCTCTCTCTCTCTCTCTCTCTCTCTTCTCTCTCTTCTCTCTCTCTCTCTCTCTCTCTCTCTCTCTCTCTCTCTCTCTCTCTCTCTCTCTCTCTCTCTCTCTCTCTCTTCTCCTCTCTCTCTCTCTCTCCTCTCTCTCTCTCTCTCTCCCTCTCTCTCTTTCTCTCTCTCTCTCCTCTCTCTCTCTCTCCCTCTCTTTCTGCCCACACCACCGGCGTCTTCAGGTGTACATGACCAGAGGCAGAGCGCCGTCACCCGGCGACCAAACTGAGAGCCGGCCACGCTCACCCATTGCACGGAGCCGCCTGTGCCGCACAGCACCGCGGGACCCAGCAGCGTCGTACAGCAGTGTCGGTGCCGTGCCGTGTAGTGCAGCAGCGCCTGAACCCTGTCGTATAGCACAGCAGCGCCGGATCCAGCTGTCGCGCAGCAGCGTTGTTGGAGCCACGCCGTGCAGTGCGGCAGCGCCTGGACCTTGCCTTGTGGAACAGCAGCGCCGGGCCCAGTAGTGTTGTGCAGCAATGACCACCATCCGCCGAGGAGGAGCGTTTCGTATAGCATCCACAGGCGAGGGGGTAGCTGCTGTGCAGCAGTACTGAGGCCCGACTGTGTCGCGCAGCAGTGCTGCGGGCCGGTCGTGTTGTATCAGCGTTGGGGCTCGACCGTGTCGTACAGCAGTTTCAGGACTCAGGTGTGTTGTATAGCAGTGTCTGGTGCCGCATCGCGGCGCCGGTAGCCTGTCGACCCCACAGCGGCGCCGGCACTGCGGCGTGCCGTGCCTTCCGTCAGCGTGCGGCCCTGCGGCCTCCGATACGGCCAGCTGGGGCAGCCCGGGCCTGTCGACAGATGTCGCCGGCCTGGCTCACTCGCCCGCGCGCCGGCCGGGCGCGCGCGGGACGCGAGGAGGGCGGCCGGCCGCACCAGGCCCACCGACAATGACTCCGTAACAGCGGCAATCGAGGGCGTCCTGGTGCGGGACAAGATCCGCCACGCCGCGGCGCCGGCACGACACCGGTTCATTGGCGCTTTACGACGCACTCAGCTACTAGGGCTGTATGGCGTTGCCTGCCTCTCACCCTAATGGGAAGGGAGGGCGCCGCGGGGATGGAGACCCGCACCATTGGTTTCCGAGACGCGCAGCCGTTAATGCGTATGCGTTAACTCCTGCACTAACCCAAAAACGACTGGGGAGCTCCGGCAGAATTTCGATTTGTTAAAGCAATTCCTCCATGAGCAATCGAGGGCACAACGTTCAATTTTGATTCGGAAGTGTGTGTGTGAAGGGGGAAAGAAAGAGATTCGGAAGTGCGTGTGAAGGGGAGTGCGAAGTGAAGTGAAGTGAAGAAAGAGTGCGTGTGAAGGGGAGAGAGAGACCACCCCCCCCCCCCCCTTAAAGCTAGCGATACTGTCACGTTGGCACAGCATCGACCTGCTGGGGACGCGACACACGAGCGTGCAGCTCCTCAGCACCGTCACCAGCTGGCAGTCGGTGAGTACCGTTGACTACACATATTCAGACATTCATTTGAGTCATATGACATGTCACCAGCACTCGTTAAACGGACGATGCACTTAATTAAGCCTTTCCGGCTCCAAATACAGGAGTGCCTCCTGATCATGATGAACGGGGCCGGTCGCTAAACAATTCACATGCCAGACCTCAGTGCGAGAATGCTTACTACACAGGAGTACGGACACGAAGACACGACTTTGACCAGACAATCATCGTCCAGTTCTCACACCTCTGCTGTCATGCCCAACCAGTTTCTGAAGTCTAGAGACGCCTGCTGTCGCCCAGTATTCACATGCCGGCGCTATTTCACCGTTCGCATCTTGGTGTGTCCCCGGTGTGGTGTGGGCGAACAGGGACCCAACCCAGGCTGGCAGCCGGACGATCTTCTCATTAACGTGACACTCAAGTCCGCAGGTGTCTGACCCACCAATCAATGACGGCGTTCCCAGGCGCCACGCTTCCGTAGGGGACAGAACGCCGCACGCTCCACGTCGGCTAGACCGCCACTCGTCAGGGCCAACCTCAGCGTGCCGCCGTTCCCTGCACCGGGCCCTGCCCCGCCGCCGTCAGCGGCCGCGCCGCGACACTCGCCAGAGGCGGGCTGCTGGCGCTCGGCCCCTGACGCAACCTTCGATCGCCTCGCCAGCGGCCTCTTTCGACGGCCATCGCCAGGACCAATTTGACTTTTTGTCTCACTGGCCTGAGCGAGCACTTATTCACGCCAGGCTAATGCTCTCGCCCTCCCGAATGAGGATTGGACGGCTACGGGGGTCCGTTCGTCACGTGGACTGCCGGTGCACGGACCGTCGCAGAATGGCACGGAACGTTTGCCAGTCGCGTAGCGGCACTGGGGAGCGCCAGCGTGCTGGAGGACGGCACTCCCCGGCAGCTGTCGCCACCGCGCCGCTGCACGATTCATGACGTGCAGCGACTCGGGCCGGCAGCACTACATCACACCGACACAGCACAGGTGCGTCCCAGGCCGGCCGACTTTGCATAGATGAAAGTCAGCGGCCCAGCACACTCAAGCTCACAAACCGACGTCCGCCGCATCCGCCCGCGAACGCCAGAATTCACACGGCTCGCTTCATCACATCCTCGCTAGGGGTCATGCAGTGCGGAAGGCGCTTGTCGGTTCAGCCCGCGACTCGGTCACCGGTGCAGTCCTCTCGGGGCGATGAATGACAACCAGCTGCAGAGACAGCATTCCGCGAATCGGAGGCCGTCACCCGTGCCAGAGGCAGCGCTTGCCGGGTGCTACCAGTCGCCCTCCCGAACCGGCAGGCCGGACCGCGCCTTCCCTGGTCCGGCCGGATGTGCCGCGCTTCCGGCCGGATCGATGCGGTCGCTTCCATCCGGCCACGACACCCGCCGACGCCGCCTCAACCAAGGCCGCGCGGTCCGTTCGAAATCGAGGCCGGCCGCCGGCCGCCGATCGATGTCCGAGAAGCGCGCTGCGAGACGACTAGCCACCGAGCCGGTGTTTTGCCGGCGTCGGGAGTCACTCGGAGCCGAGGACCGCCCGGTCCCCGGGGAGCGTGCCGCCCGCCGCCGCCGTAAACACGCGTGTCGGGACCGACTGCGTCCAGCATCGGCCGCCCAGCGGCGAGGCGCGCTCCCGCCGCACCAAACGACAGAGGCGCAATCGACATGTTTATTTCACATCGCAGGCCGCTGCCGACAGTCCGCGCCGCGACCGGCGCGCTGCAGTCCGCAGGTACTCCCTCTGTTTCCGCTCGCTCGCTCGCTCGCTCGCGCGCGCTCTCCCTCTCTCTCTTTCTCAGTGCGGACGTGCTGCTCCGTCTGTGTGTCCGTGCCGCCGCCGCAGCGGGCAGCGCGGCGGCCCGAGCCGACCGCGCGCGGAATGTTCATCGCGGGGCGGCGCCGGCCCGCGAGCGGGCGACACAATGCCGCGGGCTGGGCGACGCCGGCCGCACCGCGCCCGTATCGTTCCAATCAAAAACAAGTCTGCACTATCGGCGTATCGACAATCGCGGTAAACAGTTCACAAATAAAAGCGCCCGGTGGCGGGGCGGGGCAGGGCAGGAGTGGACCGGGCGGGGCGGGCCGGGCCGCCACCGGGGCCGGCGCGAGCGCAGGCGCGCGCTCCACATGATTCAGTGCCGGCTGGCCGAGCGCCGTGACGCGCCGTGGCCGTTCGGCTCCAGCTCCGCGTCTGGCCGGCTCGCCGGCCGGCCCTGGCACATTTGATTCATCGGCTAGCTGAAACGAGACGACAGTGTCAGTCGGCACACCAGGCGAACACGGCCCGGTCGGCTTTGACGAGATAACAGCGGACGCGAAACTGGCAGCCTTCACACCAGCCGCCAACACGGCGCGGCTCCATCTCACGAAGACACAACAGTCCAACAGAGACAAGCCGGTTGGCGCAATCGCCGCGGCTGACCACTGAACCCACCGCCAGAGCCCAACCCAGCAGCGCGGGGTCAGCGGCGGTCGGCTCCGCCGCTGCGGAACGGACGCACACACGCGCACCAAACAAGGCGACGAGGCACGTGCGGAGCCGCGTCAACAACGGCGCGCCGCTCAGAATGGCCGCACTTTATCGCCGGTCGCATCGCGTCAACAGCGGCCGCCGGCTGACGGTGGCGGCGCCGTCCGCCGGCCCAGGCGTCACGCCCGTCAGGGTCGGCTCCTGCGACAGGCGGCCGGCCGGCCGGCGCGCGCTGACCGGCCCCTCTCCGCCAAACACACACATACACCCACACACACACACACACACACAAGCGGACAGCTGGAGGGAGACGGCTGGTGCAGGCCGGCTAGCATAAATCACTACGAAGCGAACCTCGCGAAACGCTGCCAAGATCATCTTGGCACCGACGCCCAGAATAATGCGCTCCGGGGGGCATTAACGGAAACAATGTTTACAGGCTTGGTTGTGCCGCCAGTGTTACGTGTGTATCTTACGGACACCGCCTACGCGCGCGATAGACGTCTGACGACAGCCAGTTCACACCAGCACCGGCATTTCAAACAATACCAAACACGCGGCCAGACGGCGGGGCCCCGACGGCTGAAGGCCGCAATACTGACGGAGGCGGCGGTGCTCTCTCGTGATAGGCCCACAACGGAACCACGGCGGAAATGCCCAGCAATCGGCGATGTAACCGCACGTACGAGAAACGCGATTTCAAACAAGGTCAGCACTAATGTTGCGTGACAGCCCGGGCAGTGGCAGCAGGCTCCTCACGGCGAACGACCATCAAAGCGGACTGGAAATGTCGCGCCTGCCGGGGAGGCGAGCCTCTGCCGGGCAGACGACGGTCCGTTGATCATGCACAACAGACGTCCGGCGGTGACGGCGCGGCTCGTGCGCCGACACGCACAACAATCGATCACGTTGTAAGCTACGTGTGGTCGGACCACACCGCCCAGCCTCCGTGAAAACGAGCCACCCCAACGCCTCCCTGCAGCGACACACGCTCCCCGCCGCAGACGCACGATAAGCCGTGTATGCAATTCCGCAGAGGATAAACCGCGTCGAGTGACATCACAGCCAGCAATGTATTAAGGCTCAAGCTCCCGTCAACAGTGAAAACCACAACAATGTGACCTGCGTGAGTGGCTTAAGCCGCCGGCCACAGGTGAGCACGCCCCCTCCCAGCCGGCCCAGAGGCGCCAGCCTACCGTCAGCGGGCTAGAAGTCCTTCTCGTGGAAGATGTAGAGCTGGTTGGTGGCCGCCACGGCGATGGTGTTCTCGTGCGGATGCCAGGCCGTGTGCAGGATCTTCTTGTTGTAGTCCAGGCAGTCGACGGCGATCTCGTCCTTTTTCCGACGCGTCTGAGAGCTCACCTGGCCGCCAGAGAGGAGCGGCTGGTCAGCAGCGGCCGGCCGGCTCGCTCGCCGGCGCGGTCACACCGCCGTCATACAGTGGCACAGCACACTCATGACACGGCCGCAACTAACCAGCGCAGCTGACCCGCCCTAAAACCACACCACACCCCGGCGGCTCCATGCGTGAAGCATGCCGGCGATGGTTAGTCCTCGCGAACTTCGCGAACATATGACTGCATTCGTCACAGGACGTTTAACACGTCTGTTTCCGTCGGCGTACTGGATGTCAAATCATCACATTTGGAGGCGGTTTCCTGCCACGAGCCGCAGGTAGCACGTGCCAGCTGGAGGGCTGATAGCCAGGCCTGCCCGGAGTCCCAGAGCGTACTGGCTATGCGCAGTCTGGGGCGGAGGTCAATTAGGGCCGTCGTCTTCTGAGCTCGCCGTTAACACGGCACTTTCGTGGAACACAGGCCAACCATACAGGAGATCATCGGACATAAGCAGTCTACCGTCACGGCCCAGGACAGAGGATACTCCGTGACGTCATGGGACACAGACGACTCTCACGTCACGTTCCGAGACACGGCGACGTCCCCGTGACGCAGGGGCGCACCAGCGGCCGAACCCCTCAGTCCCAGGCGAAGCGCGAGCGTCTGCTGGGGGCCGCCGGCGCTCCTGATCGGCCGCCGGACCAGCGGCCGAACCTCTCAGTCCCCGGCGGAGCGCGAGCGTCTGCCGGGGGGTCGCCGGCGCTCCTGATCGGCCGCCGGACCAGCGGCCGAACCTCTCAGTCCCCGGCGGAGCGCGAGCGTCTGCCGGGGGCCGCGCGTCCGGCGCACCAGCCGACCGGGCCGGGCCGGGCGGCGGACCGCAGCCTAGCACATCCGGGAGAGGCGGCCGGCCGGCTCAGGCCGCTGTCAGCGGAGTCTGCCGCCGATGGATGACGGCACGCCCGGGCCGCGCAGCTGGCCGACTCGTTCCACCGGTCCCGACCGAAACGGATGGCGGCCTCGCCCCCCCCCCCCCCCAGAACACGGAGGGCAGCCGCCCGCCCCCGGCTGCCGGGCCGCTGCTCAGCCCCCGGATCGCCTCCGCTGTGGTATGGACGTAAGGACTGGCGGGTGCCGGTGAGGATGGTAGAGTACATGAGACGGGCCTCCGTACAAACCGCTGTGTCGCGTGATACATATGAGCCTGGCCGCTCAACCGGACTGATCTTCTCCCGTGACCACTGTCCAAACAGACTGTCAAAGTGGGCCAGCTCAGGTGAGCCGAGACCAGGGTAACCACGGAAAACTGTGTTGCCGACAGTACCGGCAACCTAGCTTTCTCTTACATTTAATTTAACTTAGGAGTGAAGCAGAAACACTACCTCACATACCGTACACGATTTGACGCCTGTCTTCGGTCCCCAGCTTATTGTTAGTAATGCTCAGATTTCACGGATTCCGCCCGTCCGTACCATTTACTTCACGAACGGGCTGCGCCGATTAGTGCAGCTATGAGCTTGCATGTTAGAACTTCTCCGGTGACATGGGGCCTTCGCACGGCGCTGCGGGTTGCAAAGCGGCTCACCTATAATGATAGACTCGCAACTCCTTAATAACGAGCAAAACTATGACCCACGTTCTGAATCATACCCGCAATATTTATTGTAAGCGCATCGTAAGAACTTGGCATATCGTAGCCGATATGTTAATGCCACTCATATCCGCAACCATTCCAAAAACAAACCATTCTTTTCGTTGGTAGTTTTGCCGCATGATCGTAATGACCTGCAAGCCTTACATTTTAAATAATGTCCGATCGACTGTCTTGAGTTGCATCCGTCGCCAACCAGCGTTTTTCGCCGGATGTTGCCTCGTCCTCACTGTGACCGAGTTCATGTCTTGTCATGTCATGTCATGTCATGCGCCGCAGAATGTTTCTCAATGGAGCATGATGAAACCTTCGGGTACATGGGCGCTTCCGGCCACAGAGGTCATTTCGCCCACGACTGCCCGTGATGGCTGCATTCAGTGTGCGCTTGAGACGCACGCAGTGTGTTGTTTTATCACGAAGGTGTTCGGTTCTCCAAAGCACGGGTTACAGGTCATGAGTGTCACATGTGATAAGCCACAGTGTCACGGACCATACGACAGTGTATGCGGGATCACGAAATCAATGTCCTTCGCCACGTCTAAACCAGCCTTCATGTCAGGCAAGTCGGGTCCCCGCAAATGGGGGACCTCAGGGACAGCCCGAGCCGCCTGCGACCGCCAACGGAACCCCGACGCTCCACTGCACGGTGGTGACTCTGTACGAGCGTGTGGGCAGCTGACACGACAGCGGTCTCGACGAGCACACGTCGGCGCTCGTCCTCCGAGCACAACAAAGCCGTGTGGTGCGCACGAGACGACGGCCGACTTCTTCCGTTCCGTTGCCCCGGCGAGCGGTCGCCAACCTACCCGCCACGCCTTTGGGTCCGCAGTGAATTTCCAGTGAGGTCCCGCGGGGCGTGCCATCTACACCACAGTTAACTAGGCGTGACGTCTGATCGATCATCACGCTCCAAAGACAAATGTTTGGGATATTTATGAAAACATTCCGCAAAATGTTCGGGAGAAAGCAGCGTTTTATAAAACAAAACAAAGAAACACTATTCGCACAAAGCAACAAGGCGTGACTGACAAGACTGACATGCCTATGTATAGATTGTTGTTTGGCAACACAGTGCCATTAATAGTGCCAAAAATGCATTCACCATTCACATTATGTCAACTTTGAACGTTCCATGGGCAATTTCTCTTCGATCTGGAAAACATTGTCGTCGCTTCAAACGCTGCCCGAAACTCCGTGAATTCGACCTCATCCGCATCCAGGCGCCACGCATACGTGCTAATACATATTCTCTGAGACGTCTCTCAGGGCACAGCAGGTCCTTTCACCCTGACAGCGTTGTACGTCGCGAGTCAATGGTCGCTGCCCCCTGCCAGGCACGAGGCAGGACCTCATGCGTCACACATACCAGCTGCCGGATGCCAGTGCCGCCGGCTGCCAGCTACGAGAGCAACCATATCGGACATGCCGACGGCCGTACCCACCGCGGAAGGCGGCCACGGCTGTCCCAGCTCGAGCTGTAGCAGTGTGGCCGGTCCAGCGGCCGCCCGGCCGCGAGAGGCTCGGGGCAGGCCATCGGCCGGCGCGGCGGCGGGACAGCTGCTCCGGGTGGACCGTGCCCGCCCGGTCCGGCGGTCCACCGGTGCCCGCTGCGGCCGCGGCGCAGCCGGCATCCTGCACCGGAACTGCTCGGCCAGCCGCCCGGCAGCGGGGCTGGCCGACGGTGCACGTCACGGCGGCGTGACAGGCGTCACCGACGGCTGCCAGGGGCAGACCGGCGCGCGCTCAGCCCGGCTGATCCAGCGGATGCCGTCAGTCGGCCTCGCCTTCGTCAGACAACGGCGCGCCCAGCTACCTGGCCAGGTAAGCGAGTTAAACAGACAGCCTGTGTCGGCTCTCCCAGTAAGCAAACGATACGATCGCATTCCCGACGTCGAACAGAAGCCAGTTTCGACAGCGCGAGGCCACAGGCTGCCGTCGGCCCGCCTGGTCGTGGAACCGTCGGTCCGTCTCGACCCTGCCAGCCGACCAGAGGTCGACGTCGCACCGCTCCCGACCGACGGGCCGGCCGGCTCGGCGTCAGCTCACACAGGCGGCGCGTTGTCAGCCGCTCGGCGATGCATGCACAGCGAGAGCGAGACGGATGGTGGCTGGAGCTGGGCCGGCCGGCGGCTGTTGTCGTTGGCGGCCGGCGCGATCGTGCCGCCCTTGCGGCCCAGACCTGATCCCTGCCGGGCCTGCTCCGTCCCGCTGCGGGCGCCGGCGAAGCGGCGACTCCGCCCGTTTTGCCGCCGCACGGTCTGCGGCACCCCTGACAGCCGGGCGAGGCGGCCGTGCCGGGAGGGACGGCCGGGGCGGCCGCGGCGCCAGCGGACACCACGAGCGGTCCGGAGTGAGGCGCAGGGCCGTGCCGATGGGACAGCAGGGCCGGCGGCGCACCGCAAAGGCGGCCACTGCCGCAACGAGCAATGGGCGCGGGACGTGACTGGCGTCTGGGATCAAGAGGCTCTCAGTGGCCCGCCCACCGCCGCCGTCCGCGGGTCGGTCAGCCCTACCCGAGCCAGACGAGGCCGGCGGCGAGCGACCGGAGCCCAGACGGCGCCGGTCTGCCGGGCCGCTACTTACGGCAACACCCTCTGCCACCAGTCGACCAAAACAGGCCGCCCTGCTGAACGCCGACTTCCGACAAAAAAAAGTCGGCCGGCACGGTACAATGGCATTACCATGACGATCTTTGTCACCTCCTCGGGTGGCCGCCGGGGAGACGGGCCATGGTGTCCCGAGGGAGTCGACGAGTCGCCGTCGGCCCCCCGGCAACAAACGAGCCGCCGCCGACGTCGGGCGTGTCGACGCCCGACGCTCGGCAAACTCGCGGCCGCTGTGCAAACGCCCCGTTAAAACGGCACGCCACCGACCACTCAAAGAAAACGGAGGAAGATTTGCCAATGTCGGCGGGGACAAACTTGCGACGGGTCGGCCCGTCGCCGGCCGCAGACGGGCGGGGTCCACTCAGCGCCCCAAGTTGGAGGTGAGAGCCTGGCGCGTCTGGGCCACTGCGTGGCGGACAGGCAGCGCTGCGGCGTACCTCCGCGGCCGACCGGCCAGGCCTTGAACGGCGATCTGGAGCAGCACGGCCGAGGTCCGCGGACTACACGGCCGACACTGGCTCCCAGCTACCGATAACGGGCCGGCGACCCAGGCGACTACGAACGGCTGGCACGGCATCCACACATATGCTACCAATGACACTAGATCCCGCCGGCACAAGGGCGCGGCAGTGCCCCACGGAGGAGGGGGCGCTCCTAGGCGGCGCGGCGCGGCGCGGCGGCGGACCTCCGGACTCGACTTACCTTGCGAGGCTTGAGTATTGTCTTGGGCTTGGCGATGTCGGGCGACGCTTCCAGCGTAACGTCCTTCTTGCTTTCGCGGTCGAACACGCGGAAGAAGTTGTTGTAAGATCCCGTCATGATGTGCGTGTCGTTGCCGTTCCAGCAGCATTCGAACTTGTCGAAGATGTAGTCGTTCTCGTACAGCGAACAGAGGTTGGTGCGCAGATAGTCGTGCACCTGAAGCGGCACAAACGGCGACGATTAACGGAACCATTCCACGTTTGTTTGTGTGTGTGTGGGGAGGGGGGGGGGGGGGTTGAACTGAGATAGGCGTTTCAAAGAGCACTCCCTTGCATTCACGGCAGTGTCTTTTTATATTTGAAACCCTCTTCTTTCTGAGTTTGATGCACACGATTCATACAGCCTATTTCGCGCCGCCTACTTGGAAGTCACCCAGACTTGTATGACACTAAAGACACGTCAAGCGGATACCTTCACTTCATTGGCTGTAACATGCTCACACCCAGGAAATAGTTGGTTATTAAAATCTTCCTGTTCAATTTATTTCACGCAATGATACAGCAACCAGCGTTCCAAAGATAGAACGCAAATGGCACCTTGAGCTTCTGATGACATGCCGATCACGAACCGTGTTTTGTGATAAATAACACGGGCATTTGGGCAAACACTAGTTATGACGGATATGAGAATGAGAATTCAATCGCCTAAAAAAAGCGTCATAACCAATGCAACTGAAAGTATTAAAACATGTCATCACGGAAAGATATACGAGAAATCACGCTAAAACGTCAAAACATACGCACGACACGCTCGGAACACACATGTACCCGCATAAACCACCAGCGCCACCTTGCAGCGCGTACAAGTACAAGTGAGACACGCCGTTCGTTGGAGTGGCAACTCGGACGCTACCATGACGTAATCAAACCACGACGTATTTAACAGCGTGGCTTCCGTGATGTAATTAGACAGCTCAAGCTGGCGCACATTTTTGCCTGCTTTGACTTTACATGTCGCGTTTGAATTGGAACCCAATATCACTACTCAAATTGAGCAAATCCCACCCGTCCAATCTGGTGTGTAGTCAATTATGTTGTGGGAGTTTAATCTGTCACGTGGCTGAGACCGAGCGAACGCACCAGAGCGAACCATCCAGCCTGTCATGATACTGAGCTAAACACAATTACACATGCACCATTGGAATTACTCAACGGCACATTGCTTTTTTGAGCCAATCATCGTTTTAACGGAGATGGCTTGACGTACCTCTATCGGTAATTATGTCTGTTCTGTAGGCATTCAATAGGAAACGACATATCTGCCATTACGTAAGTATCTTTCGTGCAAACTCCAATTTCCAAGCTCTCATCGCGTCCTTCCATAAGGTCGTCTTTGTGTGAAGTAAAGATCCACACTTGCTGTGATTCCTTTCAGCTTGTTAACCAAATGACGACATCCGCAGTCAGCGTGACATTTCGTGACGTGTGATTAACGGACACGCGACACGGAACAAATAACATGCATTTTTGGCTTTCGTGTGAGCCTTTCATAATGTTGCCAAGCTGACTGGTTGCTGAGCTAGAGACTTCAGCCACTTCTGAGCTCGAATTAGCCCAGCGCAGACCGGTGCGAAGGGCGGTCGGCGCGCGCTGGCATCGCCGGCTGCGACCCGGCACGCGCGCAGTCTGACGCCACCTCCAAATGGTGCCAACTCCGCCCGCCGCCATCGACATATCAATCAAAGTCGAGTAAAAACCGGCAACGCAAACAGGACAGAGCGCATCAGATCAAACACGTCTGGGCCAACTCAAAACAGGCGCGGCAGGGTCGCGTCACCGGCCGCGTCTGCCGGTCGGTCCGTCTGCGCCCCTCATCCAGACGGTTTGGGCCGGCGACAATTGGGTAAGGTCGGCCATCTGTCACAGCCGACCGGCGGCCTGACCACCGGCCCGCAGAGCCCGGCGGGGTGGCAGTGGAGGCACCGCCACGCGCCACCCCCCAGGCGCGACTCAGCAGCCGACTGTCAGCTCGCCGGATGAGACGGGGCGGGGCGGCAGTGGAGGCACCGCCACGCGCCACCCCCCAGGCGCGACTCAGCAGCCGACTGTCAGCTCGCCGGATGAGACGGGGCGGGGTGGCAGTGGAGCCACCGCCACGCGCCACCCCCCGGCGCGACTCAGCAGCCGACCGTCAGCTCGCCGGATGAGACGGGGCGGGGTGGCAGTGGAGGCACCGCCACGCGCCACCTGTCAGGCACGGCTCAGCAGCCGACTGTCAGCTCGTGGGATGAGACGGGGCGGGGCGGCAGTGGAGGCACCGCCACGCGCCACCCCCCGGCGCGACTCAGCAGCCGACTGTCAGCTCGCCGGATGAGACGGGGCGGGGCGGCAGTGGAGCCACCGCCACGCGCCACCCCCCGGCGCGACTCAGCAGCCGACCGTCAGCTCGCCGGATGAGACGGGGCGGGGCGGCAGTGGAGGCACCGCCACGCGCCACCCCCCGGCGCGAGTCAGCAGCCGACTGTCAGCTCGCCGGATGAGACGGGGCGGGGCGGCAGTGGAGCCACCGCCACGCGCCACCCCCCGGCGCGAGTCAGCAGCCGACTGTCAGCTCGCCGGATGAGACGGGGCGGGGCGGCAGTGGAGGCACCGCCACGCGCCACCTGTCAGGCACGGCTCAGCAGCCGACTGTCAGCTCGTGGGATGAGACGGGGCGGGGCGGCAGTGGAGGCACCGCCACGCGCCACCCGTCAGGCACGGCTCAGCAGCCGACTGCTAGCTCGCCGGATGAAATGGGCACGGACGCAGCGGAACAAGTCACCGCAATGATACCGGCCTGTCCAAATCACAGGCACTGAAACCACGGGACAGTGCAGACGATACCATCGAAACGGAAGCGGCGGCAAATGGCAGGCACAGGGCGCTGAAGACTTCGTGCGTGCTTCTGTCACCGCACAGGAGCGCCAGGGTGGCAGCTGAACCAAGACCACGGCAATGAAGCCCACGATCTGCTCACACTCCCGCCAGCGGGGGCGACCTCTAACAGTCCTCCCCGACCCCTGCAAGCTGCGCTTCAGCCGCGATCAGCGACGTCCGCCGACCCGACACACCAGGTCGCAGCCGCATCTCCCACCCCCTCGAACAGACCGACCCACAGGCCGCGCGGCCGGCCACCGACCCGACACACCAGGACGCATCCCCCTCGAACAGACCCACAGACTGCCGACCCAACACACCAGGCCGCCCCCCCCCCCCCCTCTTTAACAGACCCACAGGCCGCGCGGCCGGCCGCCGACCCGTCACACCAGGCCGCCGCCGTCGCCGCCCCTCTTTAACAGGCCCACAGGCCGCGCGGCCGGCCGCCGACCAGTCACACCAGGCCGCCGCCGCCGTCGCCCCCCCCCCCCCTTTAACAGACCCACAGGCCGCGCGGCCGGCCGCCGACCCGTCACACCAGGTCGCCGCCGTCGCCGCCGTCGCCGCCCCCCTTTAACAGACCCACAGGCCGCGCGGCCGGTCACGTCCGCCGCCGTGACCCACCAAACACAGACGCCGGCAGGGCTGCATAACAATGACCACAACGTCGGCTTCATGGTTCAAAGCAGGGTTCCGCTAGATAAATAAATATGCGAACAAACGCGGCACCGCTCAGGAAACTGCCGGCGACGGCCAGTCTGAGTCGATAAGGCGACAGCCGGGGGGAGGGGGAGGGGCGGCTCGTATTCCGAGACAGGCGGCAGCTGCCGTCGGATCCGACGACGCCAGTCATGTCGCCCCACCGTCTCCCTGGCCACGAGCGTCGGCCGCGTGAACACACCGGCAGACACGTGCGCACTGGCACAGCACGACCAGGTCGCGTCTCCAGCGCTGCCATCCCACCCTGGCTCCAGTGACCGCGCCCGACAAATCTGATGACGGTCGGGGTAAGAGCCCCGCGGTGTATGACATGATATATAATATATTATAGATTAAGCAAACTGTCGGTGACAACGATAGCTATCCAGCTGCCTAAAACTACTTGCAGCGAATTTTACTTTTACCTGTTTTTACCTTAACCGGCCAACCGGCATGAATTGGAAGCCCAGAAGCCCGTTGCATGCATAGTAACGGGGCAACGGCCTTCTAGTTCAGAGAAATAATGATGTTTTCGCAACCCAGCCAAGACAAATTCCGATGCCCTAAAAATAACTTCGTACTGGTGCTGAATCTGGAAAATTGTGCTGCAAACCACCATGTTACGCCTAGCTAGTGTTTGACAAAGCATTTTGTCCATGCCGCACCGTCTCTCACCTGGTTGTAAACATAGCATTGTCAGCCACTTAATTCGCCTCGCCATTACAGTTATGGACTGCGGGTTGCATATCAAAACGAACGACTACATTGCGCTTCTGGCTGCAACACACTATTTTATGGACTAAATGGTGCACATACATGTTCTTCAATACATGTTATTCGGGGTTTTGCCAGTCGATTTTGCTAGCCGGCTTGGGTACCAGCCGATACCGATACCCACTGTTCCAGTTCGTTGCTGTCAATGGGCCGGGAATGGCTGTGCCATTCCAGCTTTGAAATTTGAAACATTATATTACGGGAACGGACGGCGAAAATATCCATCGTCTGACTCCTGTAAACAGCAGCCTACTCAATGCATTCTTGAAACATGAGTTATAATATCTTGCCATTTGTCCGCCAGCCCTGAAATCGACCACAATTTTAGCCATGCTTAACGTCGCACGCAGCGCTAACAGTGCCCAAGACGCAATTTACCACCAATTTTGCTGTTCCACTTTCCTCCACTGGCTTACATGCCCTGCATGCAATGCTCAGGTCTCTGTGCATTTCTAGCCATTGTCGCCACTAGCAGTTTCTGTTCACCAGCTTTAACCAGTAATTGAGACAACGGCTGGCCGTGGGTGTGTTGGGCTGCTGGTGCCAGCCTGCCCGAGACGCTCTCTACAGAGCGCGCCTTGGGCGACGCGAGAGCCTGGCAGCGGCCTCGCACCGACATCGCCAGTGGGAAGACGCCGCCGGCTATTGCCGCCCGCGTTGCGGCGTGGGCGGCGCATTAAAGTCTGCCAGCAGGTGGCGGCGGCTTTCTGTGGGCTTAGCGCCGCCGCCACCGGAGTGTGTGGCCGGCCGCACGGCCCGGCGCTGGTCGATAGGGCGGCGACGGGCCGACGAGCTCAGCTCGTGGTATGGCCGCTGTTGACAAGCTTT